AATCTGTGTGCCGAGAAGTCTCGGAAGCTCCGAGGCCTCGTGGCCTTCACCGCCGCCCTGGGCGCCTGCACTGCCGGGGCCAAGTGGGAGGCCATGGCAGCGGCGCACGTCTCTAAAGGATCGAGTCTATATCTATCAGTTATAGTGAGTGCTTTCCAGGGCAGGCCGCAGTGCAGGGGTCTGGGGCTTTACGATTCTGTGCTACTGACCGCTTCTTTATCATCATGCCATCGTGATGCCGCATCAGCATCAAAAAAGAAGCGGCGAAAGATGGATGATACTCTGAAGTGTTGTTGGGGAGCCGGAAGGCATGGCAGCGATTCGGAGCCGTTTGCTCGGAGTTCTGCGGTTTCCTGTCGGGCCTCGGCTTCGCCTGCTGTGCAGTGCGCCTCCTCTCTGGTGGAGGCAGGGCCGGCCGAGGACAACGCACCGCAGCTTTGCGGAGGTGGAGCTGTTGTCGCGCCTGGCGGAGCTGCTGATGCCACACGAACCCATCGGAGAGCTCTTCCGCGATTTTCCTGTGAAACCCTCCGATGCGTGGGGGTCACGCTGGCTCTGCCCAGACATAACTGCATTTGGGGTGTTGAAGCAAAAGGACGCAGCTTTGTTCGTCGAGTACGACGGATGTCATTGGCACCGCGATGCCCAGGGGAAGCAGCGTGATGAGCGCAAGACACAAGCGCTGCTTGCCTATGCGCCCGGAGGTTCAGTCGTCCTACGGATAGGCCACGTGACTCAGAGTTCAAGACGAAGGCAAACTACGACAGCGAGGGAAGCGATGGTCGACATTTGGCGGGCTGGACATGTGCCTTCGCTCACGACCTCGTTGCATCAAGCAACACAGTCTCTCCTCATGAGCCTTGATGATGCTCTTGAAAATGAAGTGCGGGAACGTCTCAAGTCTCAGTGTGCCGAACCACTGCCAGGTTTTGACAAGTCACGGACGTTTGTAAGTCAGGCAGTGCTCACTCGAGATGTCGAGACAAAGAAGTCCAACATGCGTGTCGTTTTAGAAGGGGAGCTGCAGCTGTCAAGAGCCACAATCAAATCCTTGGAGAGTAAGTTCCCGAGAATCTGGGGTGTCAGCATCCAGGCCAACTTGAAACCCACCGCGGCCTGGCTTGCAGATGTTGGACTGACCCGGAAGCAGGTGGCCAAAGTCGTTGCTGGCTTTCCTCCAGTCTTGCGCTGCAGCATCGAGGCCAATCTGAAACCTACAGTGGCCTGGCTCGAGGATGTTGGGCTGAGCCGACAACAAGTGGCCAAAGTCGTTGCTGGCTTTCCTCCAGTGTTGGGCTACAGCATCGACGGCAATCTAAAACCCACAGTGGCCTGGCTCGAGGATGTTGGGCTGAGCCGAGAGCAGGTGGCCAAAGTCGTTGCTACACTTCCTCAAGTTTTGGGCTACAGCATCGACGGCAATTTAAAACCCACAGTGGCCTGGCTCCAGGATGTTGGGCTGAGCCGACAACAGGTGGCCAAAGCCGTTGCTGGCTTTCCTCAAGTGTTGGGTCTCAGCATCGAGGCCAATCTGAAACC